AACAGCTTTTCTATAGGCAATAATTATGCACAGTGGGTCTTTTCATCGATCGAAATTATGCACTCCGTATGAACAAGCTCATCATCGCACAATAATCGATGTCTAAACTTCATTTCCCTATGTTTCGGTCATAGATGTGAATCGTATAGATTTCCAGCTGCTATAGGACATTACTGTTCTTTTGCGCACTCGCACCATACAAGGTGTTTCTGTACTTCATTATGGTGAGAGGCTGGAGATGCGTGTTTTGTCGCATCTCAGGAGGTGGAAGTATGATAAGCCCAGGGTTCGAGGCTGCTCCCAGATTGAATTTATATGTAACAATCTGTTTCCATCTCAGCAGCAGATGCCTGGCAACCACGTCCATGCGATCAGTGGTGAACAGCTGTCATTGTCAAAAGAGAAATCACAGTGAAGGCTGTGAAAAACAAACATGAAAAAGAAACTGTAGCTCTCGTCTTAGCAAAGGAGGGGGTCATTGTGAGGAAGTGTTTTTCTCACCTTTTCTTTCATCAGGGTGCAGTTAATAAGAAAGCAAACAGTACAGTTCTGCAAACAGATGGGTCATTATGATGGTTGACATCATAAATTATTTCTAATATATTTTCTTAATCTTGGTATGATAAGCAGCAGTTTTGTTTTTGTTAGAATATATATTGGTACCTTATTGTTAATTGGCCAATATTAGATTTTTTTAATCCATATTAGTTGGTACTTTTTTGCATATGTATTGGCCACTGTTAAATGTAATATTTAGGAAGCCTCAAAATTAATATTCATTTTAAATTATTTTCACTTTACATGTGGATATTTATATTGGACACCATTTTCATACTGTACATTATAATGTTATAACAATTTGTAGAATTTAATACAGTTGATTTATTTTTTTATTAATAATAATATTATTAATTATGGAGGATTGTGAGTGCCGTATTAATAAATAAATGTTTAATTAAAAGTGCCAATAAATAAAAAAAGTTTAAAAAAATATATTTAAAAAAATTTAATTCATGCTATTTATTTATTGACATTTTTTTCTGCTTTTAATGGAAGATTTATTTATTATGATATGGTTATTCCATATCATATAATATATGTATTTTTTTTAAATAATGCATTTATTAGTTTTTAGTAATATCAGGGTATCATACAAATAAGTTAAATTCATCCCTTTTATAGCACCTACATATTTACACAGACGTTTGATTTTCTAAGAAACGTAAAGATTCTTACCAGCCCAGTTATACAGAGCTTCCTTAACTAGTAACTAGTAAGGCACCCCACCAACTAGTCAGTTTTAGATATCGTAGTCGATATCAGTGAGTGCTGAATGCAGTGTTTTGTGGTTACATTAAGTTCTTAGATGTTTTCAGCACACAACAGTTAGGGGGAAGTCAATTGAGGCATTTCCCACAATTCTTTAGGGGTAAAAATATTCCCAAGTAAGATCTATGCGTATAGTACACCGCAGAGCTTTTGTGGATCAACGCTGGGTTGTGCTCCAAGTGTAAAACCAAATTAAAGGCTGTTTATCTACAGCAGTGCACTCTTGAGAGAGAGAACACATATACTATAACCGAAGGATAGATTTGTTGATGTGTTGGGGATTGTTGAATATTTTGAGAGGAGAGAGGAAGTACAGATGATGAATGGGGATGGAGGAGCTTTCATTTGCGGTGGTTTGTTGGAAAATGTTTTAACGGCAACTTGGAGACCCATGTTAACATATGAACTTTAAATGAACTCCTGCAGTTTTATTCACTATGAAGTCATATCCACTATGAAAATACTAAATTGTTAAGGGCCGTAGATGAAACAAATACACATTATTCTGTGTGAACTGTAATAACAAGAACAAGTATGTAACATCATACGTTTCATGTAGCTCAACTGGTAGGGCATTGCTCTAGGAACACAGGAAGGTCATGGGTTCGATTCCCAATCAGCACACCTAATGTACTAATAAAAATATGTTGTATGTACTGCAAGTCGCTTTCCTTAAAAGTATATAATACATACATTACATTAGTTAAATTAAATGTCACATCCATCACTGCAAGGTGTTGTGATATTCTGTCTCATTTGGTGACTGCTACATGTCTCATGTGACATTTCACCATGTCACTTATTCACTCTCGTCTCATTTTCACCCATCACATCTTCGTGTATCAAGTCATTTCACATTCAAGTTGCATTTGCCAGCCAACAAAAAATAATGCCGTCATAATTGTCCTTAAATCCTTGGTGAGAACAAAAAGCCTGGGCGCTTGTATAATGCCACATAAACACAGTGCTTAAATATGAGGAGCTTTTTAAAGAGGTATCTATCTTCTCTGCTTTTATTGTGAATTCACAAGCATTATGTTCTCTCTCTGTTGATCATTTGAGGTAATTACACCCTCTCTCTCAAAAGAGGAGTACCTCTATGGAGGACTCTCCTCTCCCAACACATCATAATACATCAAAAGGCAATGATAGGCCATGGCCTCTTTGTAAGACATACATTTCATACATCAGATATAATTTTGCTACAAGATCAAACAAAGCATTGAACAGTGTGTTTAATGGCTTGAGTACATCTCCTTTAATAAGTTTAGCAGTTAATTAATCAGTGTCAGAGTAATACTTGCGTAGTATGTAACCTCAGTCAACGAAGTCAGTGATTTTGCCCTGCGGTGCTTTTTTTTTCTTGCTATTCATCATTTCAGAGCAATTGTTTGATCATTATATACTTGCGTCTTTTAAAGGGATAGTTCACCTGAAAATGAAAATTGTCATTATTTACTCACACTTATGCTGCTCCAAATATGTATGACTTCTTTCTTCCATGGAACGCAAACTGGGAAATTTTGAAGACTGTGAAGAATCACTCTTTTCCATTCACGTTCATGCGTATAAAAATATGCCAAAATATGTATTTCATTTATTTAATATATATTTAATATAACATTTTTCCTCATCATAATATCATGACAGTTGTATCACCCTGACATTTTTATGTTGTCATCTAAAAATATTAAAGTTATTTTAAAGGGGTCATATGATGCTATTTTAAAGATCATTATTTTGTGTATTTGAAGGGGGTCTGAATACTTTCCGTACCCACTGTATATATATAATGGGGAACTTATAAGTTTCAAAATAGACATACAACACATAAAAAGTGCCATGAAAGTGGTTTATGGTACTCATGTAACATTCTCCAAGTCTTTTGAAACCATAAATCCTTTGCACATTAATAGGTAAAATAGTATTGTCCTTAGAGGCCAATCTTTTCAATGATTTGGTTCATAAAACCAAACTTGATTCAGTTCTGACTCATTTACAGCATTTAATCTAATGTGTAATGTAATACTTTCGCATAAAACTAATGTGTAATGTAATACTTTTGGTGTTTCGAAGCTTGAAAGTGTCATTCCAACCCCAAAAAAAAGGATTTTGAAGAAACAATTGATAACTTATTTAATCTGCTCACCCTTGAACAAGCATTTTTTTCAATGGAAGACAAATTGAGTTATTTAGCAGAATGGTGACAAGAGTGGCTGTCAAGCTTCAAAAAGTATTATGAAGTATAGTCTATTGTTCACAGAAACATAAAACAAAAGTAAGTAGATGATTACCAGATTTAAATTTGGTTGAACCATTCCTTTAAGACTGCATTTAATGATGGAGAATCCATAATATGGCCCAGATCAGTCTACTTTGTTTACATAAACCAGACATCCTGGCTGTATTAATATTGCCGTCTGTGTTTTAACATGTAGCGCCGCATCTAGAGTTGTTACACACCCCTCCGCCCAGTGTTATCAGACAGCAGACAAGCAACAGGAGCATTACAGCATGCCAGCCGTTTCTCTCCTGCTGACATTTGCCATTCATTCACATTCATATCAGCATGAGTTTTCTTTTCTGTGGTTCTTTTTATGTCTCTCACATGCACCTTTTCAATTTATCTCAATGTTATTCCTTCTTTGTTAGCTTGTTCTTCTCTTGTAAAGAACGAATAAAAGCAATCATGCCTTGAATGACGGAAGGTCAGATTGAGTGTGTTCATAAAACACCGGACTTTGACCTGCATGGTCAATATTCGGTTCAAAATAAGGGAGTGACGCAGCTGCTCATCGTCTGTCTGCTAAAGGCAGTGAAATGTCAGTCAGCTCTACTTTTATAACGTCTTTTTAGGACGAAATTGAGAAAATATAAACACACAGGGTATATTTGCTTTTTTACCAAATGTATCACATTTTCCACAAAAATATTCAGCAGCACAACTGTTTCCAACAGATAATAAGAAATAAGCATATTAGAATGATTTCTGAAGGATCATGTGACACTGGAGTAACGACTGCTAAAAATTCAGCTTTGCATCACAGGAAGAAATTACCATTTTAAATATATTAAAGTAGAAAAGCGTTCTTTTAAATTGCAATAATATTTCACAATATTACTGTTTTTACTGTATTTTTGATCAAATAAATGCAGCCTTGTTGAGCACAATACAGACTGTATTGACCATACAGATGAAACTCTTGTTAATTAATTGCATTATTTTTGTTCTCATGACAATGTGGTTATAAATTTTTTCTATGCATATGTGACAAACAGCATGTCAATGTGTCACAGCTCATATACAGTACATGACAAACTAGTCTGTCTCTTGGTGAAACGGTACCTGTCACAACATGAAGACATGAAGACAAATACCTCATTTTCGTCAACCACATGGAGTTTTGAGATAAAAATGTGTGGTGTGAGTCCTGACAGATGTTTGCTTTAATAGATTGTTTTGGTTTGTGATTTGAATCGTGTATGTCACTTACATCAGCAACAGTCTGACTACCGCTCTTACAATTCTATTTAAACCATATTGCAGTTCTTAATAATGTTACTGGTGAGTAACTTTATTTACTTGCCAGTTTTTACTCACAAAAAAAAGAATAACTATTAAGCATAGCTGAACATCAGAAATGACAAAAATTTGTTATTTTTCTCTGTAGAGGAAAGGCCGGACTGCTCCAAGGCGAGATGTGAGGTGCAGTTTTCTCCACGCTGCCCTGAGGACTCTATATTGATCGAGGGCTATGCTCCACCAGGTGAATGTTGCCCCCTACCCAGCCGCTGCGTGTGTAGCCCAGCCGGGTGTCTGAGGAAAGTTTGCCAGCCCGGGCACCTCAACATCCTTGTATCCAAGAGCTCAGGCAAACCTGACGAGTGTTGTGATCTCTACGAATGCAAACCAGGTAATAAAGTCCAATATTAAGTTAACTGTTGTGACTTCCTTGATTCCATCTTCACATGACACCAAGTTAACTAGCTCCACTAGTCTAGTTTTGTTGGAAAACAGCAACCAAACCAGTTTAAACCAGCCTACACTAGCATGGTATAAAGGAATATTTTGCCAAAGCATGCAAATTCTACCCTTCATGTCCATTTTCGACATCCCTATTATGGAAATGACTGTGTAAATGTTCTTCAAAGAGCTTCAATTTTTGTGTTCCATGAAAAACAAACAACATGCATGTTTGGAATGACATGAGGGTGAGTGTATGATGACAGAGTTTTCATTTTTGGGTAAAATATTCCTCTATGTTGATTTTTCTCAAATATAAAAAGCATGCACTGCCAACTTTTATTGGAATATCAGATTATTTTCCTGCTAGAGCAATAGATGGATTGTTGTGGAGTCTTGGGAATCCACGCCAGAAACCAGATAGTGATAGATTTGAATTCTTTGCAGGTTATCTCATGATGCTGTCATAGTACCTTAATTTTAATATATCTTCTTCTGTCATGCTGTATTTTGCTGCAATGTGGCAGCCTTGAGCAGAGATAGGCTCTTGGCTTCAACACAACATAAAAAAGCAACAGTAATTATTTCCCAATACACCAAAGAGAGCGATTTTGTGATTTGGGAGTTTGCCAAAGCCTTTGAGACACGCCAAAGCCATGGGCTGTTGAAGACACATGAGTGGTTCTGCTTCCTGGGACAGTTTGATAGATAGGACACATATGTATTGGGGTTGTTTTTGTAAATGACACTTTTCTGAAAAAAAAAAAAAGTTTACATGAAATGGGAAATTTACTTGATAAAAGTTCTTATTGGGAAGAATTAATCAGCTCACATTATTCATATGTCATAGAAATGTAATCATAACTTACCTTTGAAACTGTCTATTGATTGATCTGTTGTTTGATGTTGTAACCTGTTGCAAATGCCATTTCATTTTTGTTTTTGTTCTTTTTTATATTTAACATTAAAACTTAACCTACATTATATAATGACCTAAGCACTGTAAACAGTGTGTTGACGTTTATGGTGTGATATAACAGGTAAATCATTTGCTTGGATGAGAGTTTGATGAGGTGTGTTAATTACAGGCTTTATTGAGAAGTGATAAATGTTTTATGTCTTGTGTTCAGTGTTCAGTGTAGACTGCAGCACAGTAGAGTGTCCACCAGTGAAGCCCGTCCAGTGTCCGGCGGACAGCTATGAGACTCAGGTCAGACTGACAGCAGATGGCTGCTGCACCCTTCCTACCAGGTTAGATGTTATAACTGTCTCACACACACTCAAGGTTTGACTGTTACATCTGTCTAATGCGTACAATGTAGGTTAGTCTCATATATTGACAATTCAAGTTAAGACGTTACACCTGTCTCACTCCCACAATCCCAGTTACACCATTACACTGGTCTCATGCTCACAATCCTGATTACAGACTGTTTCATCTGTTTCACACTTACAATGCAGGTTACACGTTACACCTGTCTTACTCTTACAATCCCAGTTAGACAGGTACACCTGACTCGTGCTCACAATCCAAGTTAGACCGTTACATCGGTCTCATGCTCACAATCCTAATTAGATGTTACATCTGTCTCACTCTCATAATCCAAGTTAGACTGTTTCATCTGATCACACTCATAGTCCAGTTTAGATGTTACACTTGTCTTACTCTCACAATTCCAATTAGACTGTTACACCTGTTTTATGCTCATAATCCTGATTAGACGTTACACCTGTCTCACTCTCACAATCCAAGTTTGACCATTTCATCTGTTTCACACTCATAATCCAGGTTAGACATTGTACTTGTATTACTCTCACAATCCAAGTTAGGCTGTTTTTATCTGCTTCACACTCATAGTCTAGACTAGACGTTAACACCTGTCTCACTCTAACAATTCCAATTAGACAGTTACACCGGTTTCATACCTGCAATCCTGATTAGATATTACACCTGTCTCACTCTCACAATCCACGTTAGTTTTCATCTTTTACACACTTAGTATCCAGCAATCCAGGTGAGATGTCACACATTTCTAGTTCATAATCCAGGATAGACATCAGACTTGTTACAGTATAGCTTAGACGTGCACCTGTCTCATGCTCACACTCCAGGTTACACAGTCAGACCTGTCTCACACACACAGTCCAGGTTATACATTTAAACTGTAAGATGCTCACAGTTTAGGTTAGATGTTACACCTGTCTGACACTCATTGTCTAGGTTAGACGTCACACCTGTCTCATGATAATAATCCAGGTTAGAGCAAAACGATTGTCCAAAAAAATTATTTTTCACTAGTTTAGCACTGGTTCTCAAGTCCCAGTGTGTCTCAGAGCAGTGTTTCCCAACCGGGGTGCCGTGTAAAAAAATAATTTAAGATTTTTAAATTGCTAAAATATTCAAAAAAGCATCTATTATATAATATTAATTTCTGATGTCGCCAATAATTAGAGATGCACCGAAATTCCGGCTGCCGAAAATTAGTTCACTGCTCAGGTTTCACTTTCACGTGGTGTGATGCTCTGCTTATTATCCCGCTCTATGCGTGTGCGCTCCGCTCAGTCCGTGAGCGCTCCACTCATATACCATTCATGCTCATCGGAACAGCAAAGTCCACTCAAAAATTTTAGCCCACAGGAAACATCTATGTAGTACAGTATTGTTTCTGTTTGCAATAGCCCTACTGTGCTGTAACATGGTGTGTGGTATATGGGCAACTCTGGTAACGCTGCCCTCTCATTCATTGATCTGCTAACCGCTATGTTATGCTCACATGTTCTGATAATAATAGCTTTCTAGGACTAAACATTATTTGGATAATTGGTCAAAAAAAAAAAAAAAAATCTCTTAATAACCCTACTGTTAGACCTACCTGAAAAACTAAAAAGCAATTTATTTAATTCGAAGGCCTGTCGTTATTTTTTATTTGTGCTATCATTAGTAATTTCTTTATTTGTTGTTATTTTATTACTTACTTGTCATTTTTATTCAATTCAAAGTTTGAAATCAAGCTATCTCGTGCTACTGCAACAAAATTACCCAACTGTAAAATCAAAAATACACTGAGTGAGCATAACTTTGTGAGATAGCTTGTTATAATGGTAATTAAACAATGTTTACATATGAATAAAAGCCTACATTAAAATCTGTCATATACTGTAAATTGGTCTCTTTATTAGAAATTAGCCTGCTGATTGCCACCATTGATGGACAAAAAAAATTAATAATATTAAAGAATATCTGTATGACAATATATTCTGCAGTTCTTCCCTGCTGTACCGAATATCTATTCTTTTCAAAGTATCATTTCGAAGTTAGAAATTCAACTATTGTGACTAAATTAATTTTGTAGAGTGCCACAAATTTGTTACAATTTCCGGCCCCACTTTATATTAAGTGGCCTTAACTACTATGTACTTACATCAACAATTAAGTACAATGTACTTATTGTGTTCATATTGTATTGCAAAACACTTTTGCTGCTATTGAGGTGGGATACGGGTAAGGTTAGGGACAGGTTTGTTGTTATGGGTAGGTTTAAGGGTGGGTTAAGGTGTAAGGGATGGGTCAACAGTGTAATTATAAATGTAATTACAGAAATTAATTACAGATGTAATTACATGCAGGTATTTTTTAAATATAAGTACAATGTAAAAACATGTATGTACACAATAAGTGCATTGTACCAATTTATTAATTTAAATGTAAGTACATAGTTGTTAAGACCACTTAATATAAAGTGGGTCCAAATTACCAAAGGGTGCCACGTCTAAAAAAAAGGTTGGGAAACACTGTCTCAGAGTATTAATATTGTATTATTTCAGCACTGAAAGTTAATAACTTCAGAGTGACAGAAGAGAGTTTTTTGTTGTTATAAATTAGGTATGACAGACCCCCCACCAGGATCACTCTTACTCTCTCTCTCTCTCTCTCTCTCTCTCTCTCTTTCTCTCTCTCTCTCTGTGTCCCTGTTTCTCTCTCTCTTTTACTCAGATGTGAGTGTTTGCCTGGCCTCTGCACCTTCCCACAGTGCTCAGCGGGGACTTCCCCACAGGTCGTGTCCCATGGTGATGGAACACCTGGGAGGTGCTGCGATGTGTTTGAGTGCGTCAACGGTAGGTTCTGTATTATGTGTGTCTTAATTAGTGTTTGTGTAGGTGCTTTGGGAAGGTCGTCTAGTCAGTGGGCAGAACCCTGGCGGTACTGCCATAGTGACTGGCCGTTAGCTCAGACAGAACATTACCCAAAATACATGACAGGAAATGCACACTTTTACTACATCAGTTTCTCTTCTTTTAAAATAAATTTGCAGTGTTTTAATGTTAATTAGTTGGAATTTTAATTCATTTTACATTTAATGGTTTAAAAACCCAAAAAGGCATAGCTTTTTATATTATTGTTCCCCAAATAACTCTTTCTGTGTCTCTGCAAGGCATAAGTGAAGTGGAGTATTGTAGTTAGAACTACATTAACAGCAAATGTCTGATCATTTAAGAAAATAGCTTTAGATATGCTAAATTATATTATAATACATTTGCACATTTAAGATTTAATGCCTTTTTATACTTATATCTTCAAGTTAATATTATTTAATTTTATATATTTTTAGTTGTTATTTATACTGTATTCTTAAATTCTTTAAGTTAGGTTGCGTATTTGCTCTTTTTTATATATATAATATAAAAGCACAATCTGGAAAATATATTTATCTGTGCCATTTTCAAGCTAAATAACAACAGTGTAACACTTCAAGTTTAATTCACACCTATTTTTGAGACAGCTTGTGTAGAAATGGTGGTACCAAAAAAAATAGGCTTACAATTTAAGTATATGTGAGAAGTGTGGAAGGAAAATGGTATGAGCTGACGATATAACAACAGGTTTGAGGCTGATTGCTTTAAGACTGAACAGAAAATTTGTTGTATATATATATATATATATATAT